TCCCCCCAGTCCCCCATCCTGCTCCCCAACTCTGCCCCCTGCACTGCCACCCCCAATAGCAATGGCCCCATAGGTCCCTTGCCCCACACTGCCCCCACAGAGTTTTCCCATTCCTTCACACACCCCTACAGACCTCAATAGCCCCCAATTCTCTTCAGAGCCCCCTCACATGGACCAGCGCTGAGCTGCCCCACACAGCCCCTCATCCTTCCATCTGACTTCACAGACCCCCCAAGTGGCCTCCCTGCTCCCCACAACCCTCCCTTGGTGTAATAGGGCCCGTCTCCCCCCACCCGACTCACGAATTGCAGGATTTCAAACTTCTTCTTTGACTGGATCACGTTAATCTGGGGGGGAACAGAGGGAATCAATGGGCTAATTCTAGAGAGAACAGGGGGACCAGATCCACCTGAGAGCCCCCTCCCACAACTCCCCAGAAGTGTGCTGCTCCCCACAACCCTCCCTTGGTGTAATAGGGCCCGTCTCCCCCCACCCGACTCACGAATTGCAGGATTTCAAACTTCTTCTTTGACTGGATCACGTTAATCTGGGGGGGAACAGAGGGAATCAATGGGCTAATTCTAGAGAGAACAGGGGGACCAGATCCACCTGAGAGCCCCCTCCCACAACTCCCCAGCAGTGTGCCAGCCCTCTTACACCCAAACTCTAGGTCCAGCCCTGGGCCCATCTCCCTTCCCTGCCCCCCTCCCCCGATCCATCCCTGGGCTCATCCCCCTTCCCTGCCCCCTCCCCAGATCCAGCCCTCGGCTCATCCCCATTTCCTGTCCCCATCCATCCCCCTGAACCCTAGATCCTAGCCCCTTCCCTACTCCCCATCCATCTCTCAAGCCCCAGGCCCCACCCCCACCCCCATCCATCTTCCTGCACCCCAGGTCCCATCCTGTATGCCCACCTGCAGCACGTAGTCGAGGGCGCGGGCACGAGCACTGGTGCGGGCGGCCTGCAGGGCCAGGGCAGCTTCCTCAGCCTCATGCTGCTTGCGGCGCGGCACCTCGGCATTGTGGTGCAGGGCGCTGGCCAGCCCCTCATTGCCCCGCTCAAACTCCTTCCGTGCCTCCCGGAACCACTTCATGTCCCTGCCACAGCCTGGGTCAGGTGGGCCTCCCTGTCAGCCCCTGACCCCCCTCCGCCCTGCAAACTCCACCCCCCCCAACCCTGACCCCAGCTTCTTGCTGCCCTGCTCAAACTCCTTCCACACCTCCTTGCTCCCAATTCCACTCAGCCTCCCCCTCCAGAGAACCCCTACACTCACAACCACCCTCCTTCCTCCATTTCAGTCTCTCATCCCCCCACACAAACAGCTCAAGCCACCTACTCTGCTTCCCCAGACTGCCCCCCAATACTCATGGGAATCCCCCTCCATCCTGCCACCCCAAACTCACTCTTTCACCAGGCTCTGGATGTGGTGCCGGGATGACATGTGGGTGCTGTCCAGGAGCTCCTGCAATGAACCCGGAAAAGGGGGGTGAGAGATCAAGGGGACTCGGGGAGAAGGAATCAGAGATCAGAGGACCCCTGGGGGGCACAGCAGTCAGATTGGGGAGCCTGGAGCAAGGGGAAAGAGGGGGTCAGATTGGAGAGACGTGGGAGGAGTTCAGAGATTGGGGGACCCCCAGAGAGAGGGAGAGGGGTTCAGAGATTGCTGGGGAGCTCGGTCAGAGACCGAGCTGAATAACAGTAGGGCCAGAGCTACTTGGGGGTCACCTGCATGCTCCCAAATCAGGGAAGGTGCTGGGGAAGGGAGCATTGGGGTCCCAAGGAGTTGGGCTGACCCAGGAGGGGCAGAGAGAGCCCACAGCAAGGAGGAGGTGGGGGTCAGCTGGGAGGAAGAGGAGTCAAGAGGCATTGGGGGGCAGAGTTCAAAGCAGGGGAGAAGGGGGGGCTGAGGGAGGAGGTGTGGGAGGGGAAGCGTCTCTCACCACTTGGTTGTCAATCATTTGGTTGAGGCTGCAGGAGAATTTTTCCACGCATTCCTAGGGGGCAGAGCGAGGGGGAGAAGATGAGTGAGCGGCTATTCTCCCCACGCCACTGTGTGTCATTGCCCTGTGCTGCTTGCCATGCAAGGGAATTCCCCAGCCCCAAGGCCAAGCCTGCCCCCTCCACACACACACACACTTAGCACTGCTTTCTACCTTACCAGAGAGAGTGTCATGTGGCAGGAAGTTCCCCAGGAAAAGGAGAATTGGCACAACACTGCTCAATGGATCACCCACTCCTGATCAGAGAGCAGCATGGCACCTCCTAGCATCACACAGGAGCATGGGGCCAACACTGGCTGATGTGGGGGAGCCCCCCTCCCCCAGCTGAGCCCCTCCTCCCACCAATACCCCAGGGGAGCTGGGCAACAGGACCTACCCCCACATGTGATCACAAGGGCTGTATTGTGGGGAGAGAGACTGGAGACAGTAGCCAGCCCCACAAGCAGGGCTCCCTGGGACCCAAGGTCCCCTTTGAGCCGACTGGGGATGGAGGAGAACCAGATGGCACTTGTACCCAGCCCCATTGATCATGGGGCTCCACCAGCCCCTAATCTCCCCCAATCAGCCCCACGCTGCCTCCTGGGCTCTGATCTCCCCGCAGATCAGCCCCACAGTACCCTGCAGCCCAGAGGGGGGAAGGAGACTCACGCTCATCATGGGGTCCCCCTGGGCGTGCTGGGAGAGGTCACGCACGCCGCCGACGAAGGCCTTACTGGCATTGCAGTACTGGCGCCCTAAGTCCAGCATGGCTGTGCAGAGCTTCAGCAGCTGTCAGTGAGACGGGGGGAGTGGGGTCAGCCACATGCAGCTGGGGCTACCCTGGACCAGCCCTTCCAGACTGAGCCCTGTCCCTCACGGCACCCTCCAGCCAACACCCCCCAAGCTCTGCTCCTGATAGCACCCTCCAGTCAGCCCTCCAGAGCCCTGCCCCCAGCTCCTCTAAACCAGTCCCCAGTGCCCCAACCCAGCCTCCCTCCAGCAGCCACCCCAGAACCAGCCCTCCCCTCTTCTGCACCAGTCCCCCGACCCTCCATCCAAATTAGCCTCACCCCCAACCTGCAGCACCCCACTAAACCAGCCCCCTGCCCTCAATCCCCTCCCTCCAAAACAATGCCCCATCCCCACACCTAAATTCAACCCCTCCCTCCCACAAGACAGCTCTGTGGAAGCCTACATGCCTAGGTCCCATTCCCCACCCCCAGCTCACCTTCTCCAGCCGGGTCCGACCCTCCATCCAAATTAGCCTCACCCCCAACCTGCAGCACCCCACTAAACCAGCCCCCTGCCCTCAATCCCCTCCCTCCAAAACAATGCCCCATCCCCACACCTAAATTCAACCCCTCCCTCCCACAAGACAGCTCTGTGGAAGCCTACATGCCTAGGTCCCATTCCCCACCCCCAGCTCACCTTCTCCAGCCGGGTCTCCAGCTCAGAGACATCACATTCCACACCCTCAACAGCAGCCCTGGGTAGAGGCAGGGGTTACAGGAGGATCCAGGGGTCGCTAACTGCTCCCCCATCCCCATACAGAACTGTGTTATTGCAGGACCACCCAGGGATAGCTGGAGGGGCTAGCAGCAGGGGATAGAGGGCAGCTGGGGGGCAGGGCACAGGGTTGGTATTGGGGTCCCTAGGACAGGGGAGGATGGAGAAGGGATCAGGGCAGGGAGAGAGGTGGGATGGGGCTGCCTAGGGGGCGAGGTTAGTAGCTGGAGATGGGGGACTGGTGGAGTACTGGGGGGCAGGGCTTATTAGGAAATGGGGCAAGGGTGGAGGGGAGTCCCACTGAGTTATTGGGGGCTGGGAGTCTCTGACTGGGGGTTAGAGCTCAACAGAGCAAGGAAGTTCAGGCCATGAGGCAACGGGGGAGCAGAGCAAGTCTCAATGGGGCAGGAAAGGGAGGTGTCAGAGGGGATCAACAGGGGCCGGTGAAGAGGGCTGCACTCTTTTCAGGGGGGAGTCGGCTACACCCAAACCTCCCTCCCCCCAGAGCAGACGCTGCCTCTCATTCTCCCTTGCGGTTGCCTCTTTCCGGCCTGGCCCCGCTGCCTCCATCAGCCCCACAACCACTTCCTGTCGCACAACCCCCCCGCGTTGCCTGGCAACTACCCCACACCAGTTACCGTGACGGCACAGGAGATGGGGGGGGGGCAGGAATAAATTCAGAAATGGAAAAAAAAACCTTCCAAAGCGCCCCATGATGTAAGCAGAGGGGATTATGGGAGATGCACTTTCTGAGGCAGGGAAAGGGGCCTGTGGCTTGTCTCCTCAAGAAGTGCCAACTCTCATCTGGCCCTAGGGCAGGGACTGGCTGGCTGGGGCGGTGGGGCAGGGAATGGGGCATGCCCCCTGCCCACTCCGGGGAGGGGAAGTGACAACAGATTTTTGTGGGGGTGGGGAAAGCAGCCCACCAGAGAAAACCCAGCAGCAGAGCTGAAAGGCCAGAGAATCAGCTGCCACCTTCCCAGCCTGGGATGGGAGGGTGGGGGGGTGGGAAGAAAGCAGGACATGGGAGGGAGGAGCTGGAGGGGATCATGGTAGACATTGTCCAAACCTAGCACACACCTATTTGAGGGATTTGTGGGGGGGATGTTGATCTCGGGTGGACAATCAAACCTACACACCCCATTCCTGCACTGGTGGGGGGGAGGGGAGTGACTGAGGGAGAGACCCAGGAGACATGGGCAGGGGTGTGTGTGTGTGTGTGTGTGTGTGTGTGCGTGTGTGTGCGTGTGACACAAACATTCCCAAGAAGACATGAGCAGGTGACACACACACACCCAAGAAGGACACAGGCTGCCTGCGTAGGTGCAAGACACCCCTGAAAAGGTCTGGCTATGACGCCCCCCGGGGTCCTGCTTGGGTGTGATCCTCATGGGGGTACATGTGTGTCTGTCCTTCAGGCAACTGCTCCAGGGTCCCGATCCCCGTGGGTGAGAGGAGTGTGTGTCTGTCCCTCCATCCCCTGCACCCAGGACCCCTGATATCTGTGGGGGAAGGGAGCATGTCTCCATCCCTTTGTCCCCTGAAGCCAGGACCTCTGATCCCCATGGGGAGGCCGTGTGTTCATCCCCTTCAACCCCAGGACCTCTGATCCCCTTGGGGAGGACTGTGTGTTCTTCCTCCCATCTGCTGCATGCAGGGTTCCTGATCTCCTCAGGAGGGCCTTGAGTCTGTCCCTCTATCCCCTGCACCTATGGCCCCTGATCCCCATGGGGGGGGCTGGGTCACCCCCCCTCCTTTTGCAGCCTGCCTGGCCACAGCTTTGGTTTCCGGCCCCCCGGGTTGCGCAGCACCTTGCACACCGGCCACTTCCTCTCCCGCCCCATATGCATGTGTGGGGGACAAATGTGCAACA